GCTGCATTAAACTCATTATTACTCAATGTATATTTAAAGAAGGAAAGCAGAGCACAGGAAATGTCTGTAGAGCGGTGACAGAGAGAATCACAATCACAGCCCTTATTGTCTGTGTAAATTGGGCTTTATGGTCCAGCGTCAAATCATCGGTGAAGGACTCTAGTATGATACAAGTTTCTGTGATGTTTGCAAATGTTCATGTGCACTGAAACTTGATTTGAAAAAAATGAGGATGAAATCAAAATCACAATATCTGCCAGAAAAATGACAATTAAAGTTTTTCTTAAAATCATTCAGTCCTAGCGACAATACTAATTGGCTGTAATATGAATCAGTTTGAGCTGCCCTGTGAAAGTTATACTGAGCAGTCCATTCACTTCTCTGCAATGATATCTGATTATTGTTATCACCATAATAAAAAAAAATATGGCTTTTTGTGAATACCGCCCATCTGCTCACATACACAACCCCGAGCAACAGCCAGAAACATGAAGTGAGAAAGTTCCCAGTCACTTTTCAGACGAAGTTCAACTCTGATCAGCAGTAGTAGCATTACACAGCCATCACCCTCCCTCTCCGCGCTCTTCAGTCACCCAAGGCCACCCATTTGCCATTCCTTGGGCCCATCCATCTCGCTCTGCACCCTGACCCGCGCTGACGTCTCCGGGCCATGATGAAAGCCTGCGACTGATTGACTCTCATTAAAAAGAGAAATGGAGTTCAAGTGACTGTTAAGAAATGATGAGAAAACCACGACCTGTCCTTCATGTGGAGAGGATTATTGCTTCAGATGATCAGACGGAGACGTGTCACCGGAGCTCATGTGGGCCACAGAGCTGAGCTGATAATGAACACTGCGCGCCGGTCTCATGCATGTCAGATGTATAATGCAGTTTTTGTAGCATTTTGAGAGCTAAGAGTTTTCGAAAATAGGTTGTATTGATTGATTTTATTTATTTAGTTATTCGTTTAAAACAAAGACAGCGCACAGGAAACATTAATCACTGAGAAAAGATGCCAGTGTGCCAGATTTAGACACAAGATACTTTCCATCTGCAGACCTTGGGCAGATACACAAGACATTAAAGAGCCTGTTTACATAAAGCAACTCTAACAAGTTTCATCAATAACAGTACAGTATTTCCTTAAAATAACCGCAATCCAATTAATCTGTAAACATTTAAAACAGCCAACATTTATTAAAGGGGCACTGTAACTTTTCTAGAGTGAGGTATGCCACTTTTTTGTCTTTATGTTATTACTTTGCTTGGTATGTTCCTCAGTAGGGCATTAAAAGTTTATTCAACCTTTGCTTCATTTCATTAGATGTGATTTTATTGCCTCAAACTGATCTATACATTATCCTGCTTGTCTCCAGATGAGTTTAATGCCATACTGTGAAAAATTCCAGGCTGAACCGTTAAGTACATCTACATGGAAACTAGCGAGAAAAGTTATGCAGTACAATTTTAAGGCTAATTCCCATAAATACAAAACATCATTATCTTCTAAAAATACTCCAATTCATTATCTTCAATATCCTCTAAAATGTACAAGTATCAGTTTCATCAGTATTATCCTATAATGATGCTGGATTATCCTAAATGATCCTGGACTCTCTCCTCTCTCTACCCAACAGGCTGCAGGGAAGCTACGAATCTGCACCTCCCCAAGAACAAAACTCTCCAAAAAACACGTCACTCCCCCAAAAAAGACATCCCTTTTGCACTTTCGCACTACTTACATTTATTATTTATGTGCATGGGAGTAAGAAACACAATTTAGATTCTTTGTATGTTTTTCATTTGAAGAATTGACAATAAACTTTTTTGAACTTTTTGAACTATAAAATACAATCTGTCATCAACATTGCAATTAAGACACATGTCATCAGTCAAACACAATACGCCACAATGCATCTGCACAAAACAAAGACAACGCAATCAGCCCGAATGTTTGAAGAGGACAAATGTTGACACACCTGCCTGCTCAAAAGCCACAGTCAAGAAGAACCCAGCAGCAGTTGTGACGCCAAAGAGAAAAATATTATCCCAGCATGATTATGTCACTTCACTGATGAGTAAGGGGCAGTATACAGTGTTGTATGTAGTATTAGCAGTAGCCATGTTACCTGTGCAAAGACATGTCAAGTAGTTTACCCAAGTTTGATGAAATATTCTGAAATACATTTTAAAGGTGTCCTATAACGTTTCTGGTGAAAGGTCTACCATCTGCTTGGAGATGTTTCTGCTTTGCTTCAGAAGTTCCACAATAGGGCTTTAACACTTCTATCTCCAGGTGATAAAATCAAACTAAGGCTACGTTCAGACTGCACCTACGAAGTGACCCAAATTCAATTTTTTCGCTCCTGTGTGACCTGTATCTGATCTTTTAATGACAGTCTGAATGACACAGATCTGACTTATTCAAATGCGACCCAGGCCACTTGGATATGTGCTCCGAAAACCGATGCATATCCGATCTTTTGACATGCAATTTCAGTCTGAACGGCCAGGTCACATTCATCCCACCTACACTTCAGGCTTGGAGTCTAGTCAATGTAGGAAAAGTGAGGTCAGCGTGTTAATTAATATTTGGGGGGATCGCTGTATTCAGGCCAAATTGGAGGGGTCTTATCGGAACCAGGTACTTTTTGAAATGATTGCCAAAGAAATGGATAAGCACGACTACGGGCGGTCCAGGCTCCAGTGTCAACAAAAAATAAAGAACCTGCGAGCCAAATACAAGGAGGCTAAAGACTCAAACAACAAAGCAGCCATGGACGTGTAACCTGTCCATTTTACGAAGAACTAAACCGTATTGTGTGAGATAACCCCAGCGATTAGGCTACTTCTGTAAACACTGAGCACGCTCGCTGCGTGTGACGTCGTCGTGTCCTCAAATGCGCATGCAGGACACTTTTGGGCCATTTAAGTTTCACATTGGAGCTCACATACAAGTCGCATCTAATTGGAAATGTGAACGACCTCGCAAAAAAGTTGTGTTTCATAAAAAACCTGAGCATTAGCCCTGCAGTCTGAGTGCAGCCTAAGCTACAGATCAGGTTCAAAGTATTTGTCTGGCAATGAAAACCCCATGAAAAGTGATTGCTTTAATAAACTGGATGTCTCTTTTTGACAGATATGGTCGTATAAACTCTTACATAGTCCAACTTCTTCAATAAAACATGTCTCAAGTGGTGAATTCTTTACAAGTGAAAGACATTGTATATTCATTCTGTTTATATAGCAACATTTTGAGCACTTTCAAGCACTCAAAACAGATACTTTTTTTGAAGTGTTAACTGCTATGGCAACGGTGCGAGCTTTTCATCACTCTGAAACCCATGGATGGTCCAAAGCCTGCATATTGTCTCCCAGTATCATTTACATGTCTTATATTTCTCATAACTTTGTCCTCTGCAGTATTCTCCTTACGACACCTGTCTGTGTACATCTATTCAGGGGCACGCTAAAGCACTTAGCCTGGCAGCACTTGTTAGCCCCCCGCTGCTCTCACTTCAGGCCTTATTGTGCCTGTCAGACAATGTTTCAGCTGCATCATAAACGCTCATTGTCTATCGAACTGCAATTTAACAAAGGATTTTTTATGCAGGTGTTTTGGCAATGCCTGAAATGTAAAATAGGAAAACTGGTTTATGTGAAAGGCTGTATTGGCAGGAGCAGATCAGAGCTAATATCCTGCTGATGTCATTTTCACAGTCTCTTGTCACTAAGCACATTGAACACAGTTGGCTATAGACAGTGCGACGCAATGACTTTCCTCTCATTTCTCTGTATAAATCTCATCAGAGGCAGCCATTTGTCAGCACTCGCACGCCCCATGACAAACTGTGCCCCCTAAGGCTGAGCGGATCCACCTTCTCCACCCAAAACTCGGCAAAGTGCAAACGTGAAAAATGGCTGTTCCAAGGCCACCCCGAGTTCAGCGGTGTTGTCAAAGATGTGAGATTAAATGTGTGAGGAAAACAAAACAACACTATCTCCTGCTCAGGGCTAATCTTTTCACATTATCGGTGTTTGAAGGTGCTTTGGTGGACTCAAATCTCTCCAAACCAGACTGACAGACCTAAAAGCAAAAGCACTTCTTTTTCAGAAGCAGGGTGGTGCATAATTATCACAAATGGCATTGAACTGGGTACCACATATTTTATTTACTTTAGAACTTTGAGTGTTATTCAGTTTCAAGAGCTTTTGAAATTTAAAGTTTAAACCTATTTCTCTAAAACATAGTTAACATAATTATCGTCAAGCCAATAATGTTAACAAAGGCCAAAACTTGACAAATTGACAACATCTTATCAATGTTTGAAAGGTCAGAAAAATAGTAAATACTGCGTAATGGCATTGCTACTGTTTTTTTCCAATCTTTTTTTTTCTATTTTTCTTCACAAACTGTCACTTTACTGATGTAAAAATACAACTGACCACAGGTTCTACCACAGCAAGAATATACTAATCTGTCAAATGCACTTTCTGTAATAAAAAGCTTTAAAGTTCCTGATAATATAAATAAATTCAGCAAATACAAGTTGACTGTTTTCACTTCTGCTTTTTAAAAAATATGTTAACACACCCCGGACACATTCTGTTAGAACCACTCCCCTGCACTGCTTGTTTTGCACCTATTTTGTCCATACTTTATATTTTGTATTTTGTATAAATTTTTATTCAAACATCTATTTTATACCTGCCTTTTATTTCATCATAGTTTATATTTTTATTATTCATTGATATCCCCAGAGCACATTCCTAGTTTGAGAATTTTCTTCACTGACAACAGCATTAAAACTTTTCAGATTCTGATCAAAAACACAATATTTTTACTAAAATAATTCAAAAGCAACATTTATACGCAGCTATTTTTAACAGCTACAGAATTTCCTCAATCTTCACTTTCTATCATTTGCATAGCATGCTTCATTGGCACTCACTTCCTGATGTGCAGATGTGCAAATATGAAACTAAAAGAGTGCTTACCTCTTTCCCAGACAAGTAGTAGGCTGAGAGCAGGCCTCCCACAAAACGGATGTTCACCTCAAACACAGACACCTCCGCATTCTGCAACACACAGAAAAATAATAAGCAACAGCTGAGGAGAAAGGTACAGGGAGATAAAGACAGAGCAGCTACATTCACAGATGGTGGCATTATAATGAAAATAGCTCTTTGAAATCGGTCAAGAGAATATCTGATTGTATTTACATGTATCTGCATGGGTCCCTCATTAGTTTGACTTCAGCGTTCAGTGACATTTTCGCTCTGTCTTTGAGACTAGTTTAAGCAAATTAGTACTATAAACAGTGAAAACAAAACACATTGCCATTATTTTCTGAACTATATCCCCAGTATAGTGGCATGTAAATTCTTATACAATCAGCTTATTATCACGATGGAACAGAATAAAACAAAATAACCATATATGGGTTTTTTTTTATTCTAATTGGCTTCTTTTGAGTTCGATTCTAAAGTTCTTCAAGCTGTAATATTGTAATATACAGAACGGAGGAACTTAGCGTGAGAGTGTTAATGTGCTGTTTTGGAATCTTACTTGTCATGCGTAACATAAAATCACTTGCAGACATGTTTTGAAATGTGTCACTTGTGTGGTTGCATCTCCGTGTGTTCTTATAGGACCAGGGGCAGTTTAAAGTATTAGTATAAGACCATAAACAAAATTTAGTACGCGTGACACCACTACACAAAGACGAGTAAGATCAGACGGTGAAAGTGCATGGCATATTTTGACAGTCCAAGCATCTTTGCTGAAATACGTCCACACAGGGGAACACTGAGTACTCCCTGTCATAACATTATGGCTTTAAACTTAAAAACATAAATCCCCATTACGCAAACTTTGGCCTTCATTGGCAACAATAAAAAGTAGATACACTGTCTCTTTCCTTTGACGTTTGTTTGAAGACAGATTGGGGAGAAGCAAAGAAATAGAAGTTTGTAAAGCCATTTGTCTTAGCTGCATAACAATAGGGCCCTTTATGGACAATTGGTGATTTTTTTGTGTTGGAGTGACAGCTCTCATAATTCACTGCTGTCGACAAGCGATAGGACAATAGAGAGAGAAAAACTATTAAGACAAAACGTGTCCTGTTATTTAAATGTGTTCCGCTGGCTATTGGAACAGTCAGACAATGTAGTCCATCCATTCTAATTTAATTATATGCATTCTCTTTGACAGTATATGAAATGCAAAAAGACAATGGCTCAGCTCAGACAGATCTGTTGAAAATGTTGTAAGCAATGATGTAAAATGTGAGTAACCCGTCATTTTCCCAAGAGTGCATTTGCTAACCGCCCAATTTGACTCACTGAAGCTATAAGATGAATGCCTTTAATATGGCAATTTAGAATATTCACTGCTTCTATGGTTTTATGTTGGGGTTTGTAGACAAGATAAGGACTTCCCGCAGAAGAGTAACTGGAACGAGGGAGGCCATCAGCTTCAGATACAGTCCTGAAGAAGTCAAGACCACAGACTGCACTTTTTGTCTGTTGCTGATATGAAAGGCTCAAAAACTTGTGCAAATCAGTCCTCAAGACACATCACTGTAACATCATGTGACTCTTTTGAGGAAGGATGTCGCTGATATCTGAAACATCAAGTTTTAAATAGCACGCAACACAAATGTTTTTAATTTGCCAAGACAGACATTAAGTTCGTAGTGAGACAGGTTGAAAGACAGGATAAAATATACACCTCAGAACAAAAAGATCTCGTGTTGAAGTCTCAAAAGGCCCCATTTAAACAGCTAGAATAGACTTGTTGTGTTGTAGAGTTGTAGAGGTGTCAGCCAGTGTTCCTCTGAGTCGGCAGGAGATACTGGTGTTATCAGTTTGGGCCTGACAAACGATGGGTCCAGGGCACTCCGGTCTCCTGATGCTGCAACTTTCAGCCTTACACTGTGGAACAGGATCTGACTAAGCACTGCTGTTTCCTCTACGGGCCCAAATAGGCCTGGAACAAGTCAATGCTCTGTGACGGTGGACTTTTGTGGACAGGAAATAATGCCACCGTACTGCAAAGTTATTAGTCTGTTAGATGATGAGATGGTAAAAAAATTTAGGTTTGTTATAATTTCTCATCTGAACTCAAAACTGAATGTAATTGTTAGATATTCAGTACATTCTCAGACAGGCAAGGTCACACAACAGATTTTGTTATTGCAAAACATGACAGGAAAATAGTTACAAGGTCTAATATTAAATGTAATTTCATTCTGGATGTACTCTAGGCTATTGGATGATTCGAAGGTTTTGTGGGTCAATGGGAGCAGCGTGGCCCTGAATTGTTATTTCAATACACATTATTTCCTGATAGTGTAGTGGTTTAAATTGCATAATAAGTCTAGGGGTGGTTTTCTCTAACACTGAATTTGCTATGTTTAGTCAGTTAAAAAGAGAGATGAGTGCATTGCTCTGGCTCATGTTTTACAATGGTATCAATAAAAGCCAGCAACACAGTCTCAGCTCAAGTTTAATGCATGCTCACTTTCATATAGCCATATCTATAGCCAGTGGCCAACTCAAAACACAAACAACCAAGACTGATGCTATCTACTTTCGCTTCATTACAGAGTTGGTTGTTTCTGACTTTGTAGATTTGTCAGCCTAGGGAATACAACCAAACACAAGAGATGATGAGGAGAGCTTTAAGTATCCTCAAAAGCTTGAGGGAAGACAAACTACTTCAAACAAAGACAAAACTTATGAAAAAGTGAGTCCACCGTAGCTGTAAGCCACACAAAAATCCCACTGCACATTACACTGCAGGTCACTGTCATTTATTTCCAGCCAAACGGAGCAACACCTTTAAATCTATTTAAAGGCGAGGAGCAAGAGAAGAGGTTTTATAAGCCTCCAGAGAGATGGCCTGTCAGAAATGAAGCGCTCGCAAGGAAAACTTATGATCTTCAGCTGTGTCAGAGCCAGAAAGGAAAAGTCAACACTTCCTGTCATAAAAATAACTGACGTTTGGCAAAGCGAGGCAAGGACAAAAGTCTGTTCCCTGGTGATCTACGCAGAAGAAAACATTTTTATACACTATTGGGTGGTCTGCCAGATCAGGTAATGGTCATTGCAACTTATGGTCAGATCTCCATATAGAATAAACACCATATGTCAGCTCAGATATATTAGGTTTGCAGAAGCTTTGATATTTGGAGAGTTGATACGTGAAGGAACATTTGAGTGTAAGAAGACAAAATTATTCCATGTTTGGGCTGCACTGAGACCACTTATTTCAGTCTGAGCCCCATGACGACTCATGAACTCTGAGTCATCACCACAGTAGCCAGTCAAGTCCTCAACGCAAATGTTTCTTTTTTTGCAATGAACATTTGTCACTTTGACCTCAGCACAGCCTGTTCTCGTGTACATACATTTGGACAGATCAGGACTCAGAATAAATCTCAGACAAGCTTTTCACACAAACGCACCAACTTGAACTCGTTGACCTCGAAGACCGACTACCTGTTTACCACAACACTCAGAAATAAACTACGCAAAACATCTTACTTTACATCTGATTTTGCTGATCACTTTAATAAGCCCATGAGATCCTTTCTTCCTTCCTATTCAAATCAGTGCTTGTTTGAATGACGCACTTCGACTGAGAATCCTGCTAATGACTACATCTATATGACCACAACATCTCCATCTTTGATCTTCTCTGAAATCATTTTGCTCCAATAACATCAATCATAAACTACACTCAAATTCAACATCTTCATACTCACCCTTACTGCTGATAAGCCAGAAAGACTCACTAGTACATGGACAGCTTTCCAGTCTTTGATGTCGGCCTGTATTGTAGAACCAGCCTAATTATGCTTCAAGCTCCTCATTAGAAAGACACAGACTTACTCTTCTGAATACAAATATGACTATGTTTACAGATCTGAGACAAGGCTCCGCTCCAAAAAGCATGCTAGCCCATTCCTGTGTAACCTCTAATACAGCCAAGAATCGCTTCAGTCCTTTTACTGTACTCCTTTCAACCTGTTATTTCATGCATAGGTTTCCAGCCGTTTTCTGTGCATAATCTCGTCTTATTCGTATGCGTCTGCCAGCAGTTGTCCTGTCACTCAAGATGCTCCGTCTCAGTAGGGGAGCCATTGTTTTCCATCGGCTTGACGCAAGATCACTTTACAATGTACAGTTTTGGCAACCTGTGCTTTCCACTAAGCCATTTTTATGTGATGAAGAAGGAAAAAAGGCTGTTATTTTAAAACCGTAATGAAAGGTGCTCTGTGAATACTGGATTTTCTCAATTTTCGGCTCACATTTTGATGATGCACAATGTGGTTTTTCTTAGGCCTGCTTAGAAAAACAAAAACAAACTTGCACTGCATTATCCTCCGTTTATTCAACAACACAAACAAGCATATCTTACTGTCACAATCATTACTATATCGACTCAACGAAAGCTAGAACAATATATTTTGGAGCTCAATACTTCTCATCTGTACATTTTCTTTGTAAAAGTGTGGAGATTTGGGATGTTTTTGTTGTAATTCAATAAGATTTGAGCTGTAGAGGGTTGGTTCATTCTGCTGTTTATTTGTTGCAGCTCAGGCCTTTTAATGATGCTGTCTATTTAAAATGGTTTACTGGGATTATCTTGCATTATTGTTATTGTATCACTGGCAGAGAGGGGACAAAGTCATTGTTTTGCAAGTCTCAAGCAAGTCTCAAGTCTTTGACCTGAAGTCTGGGTCAAGTCCCAAGTCAATGACAGAAAAGTCCAAGTTGAGTGTCGAGTCACTGGCTCATGAGTCCAAGTCCAAGTCGTCTGCTTTGAGCTTCAAGTCATTTAAAGTCTTTAGCTTAGATTTCTGCAATTCATATGACTTTTAAACCAAATTGTACTTAAAAAGTCATGGTATATTTATATATGAGTATTTATATAAGAGTTGTGGAAACTGGTCTCATATTTACTTTGTTTTATGGTGTTTGTTTATGTGCTGCTTTGTGTTGTGTTGTCCTGTTTTTTTTTTTTTTGATAAAGCATGTTACCCCCTGTCCCAAGACAAATTTCTCCCATGGGAGACAATAAAGGATTATCTTATCTTATCTTATCTTATCTTAAATGCAAATTTTTGCTTTTTTAACATCTTGACGAGTGCGAATCATTATGGTCAGAATAGAAAGAATTCAGTTTTAAAAGTCCTTAACAAGAGTTATTTTGTCGTGTGTCTGCACTGAAATGGAAGGATCATGTTCTATGTAGTTCCTTCTGTGTTACTGTGTTGTACTGTATATTACTGCATATTACTGTATATTACTGTAGTACATTTGATGACATATCACAGTACTTCATTTCCAAAAGAAACAAACAGAAGTAGGATGGACATGTTCCAGTTTGTTTCTGTAAAATTAAACACCGTATTTATCAACTGTAATGAGAAAAGAAGAATCAAGTCTTCTCAAGTCACAGGCCTCAAGTTCGAGTCAAGTCCCAAGTCAATGACCTTCAGGTTTGAGTCAAGTCCCAAGTCTTAGTCCATTTTATGGACATGGACATCTTTTTTTTGAAAATTTAGACAGGACTGGACTTTGATGTTTGTGTACTTGGTGCTTTTGTGTACTTTGTGGAGAGAGGAGTGCGGTCTGAGGGGATTTTTATTTTGTATTTGTCTAGTTTTATATGAAAAAAGAAAAGTTACATAGTAGAATAACTTTAAGGGGCACTGACAAAAAAAAACAACAAGAATCTAAAAATGTCCAGAATTCAAAAAGTTCTCATTTCAAACTTGCGTTGAGAAGAGTCAAAGTGCAGCTAAAATCGCCACTGCAGGAGATAGTGGAGAAAGTCTGGCAGCTGTGACGGTCTCCAGGAGTGTTTGTATCTCCGAGCGCTACGAGGAAAAAAATCACATGCTTTTATATGGTTTATAAAGAGCTGTCTGGATCTACAGCTGTGTCCTTAAAGTGGAGCTGCAGCTTTGAAATGTCATTTTAGAACAAAAAACTGCGTAAATATCATGTGGCGGTGGTTTGTGTCTTCTCTGAGGCACTATTTGTCAGAACAAATCACCAGCAGATGAACTAAAGGAAAACTAAAGCAACAACAAGGCCGCAGTAATCATGCAGGATTCTCATTAACATTCAAACAAGGATATGGGTGAAGACAACAAATCCTATGTGTGCAACTAAAACAAAAAAAGGACAAGGAGACAAGGTACCAAAATATATGTCAAGTGCCAGTGATTGAAGAAATAAAAGTTCCTAAAATCATGTTGAAACTACGAGTTATACTTAATTTTCAGAGCAGTTGCGAAAAGGCTAGATGTGATAATTTGCCTGAAGCCATGCGCAAAATGAGTAAACACAATTTGTGTTTTTATTTATTTTTCTGCGTATCTTTTTCAGACAGGCATATTCATTCTAAGCAAAGTAAAAAATACTGATGTGTCTAGTTTTGATAACAAAGTTGTTTAAATGCCGGTGTTATGACTATCAAAATGACTCCAATATTTCTTTGTAGGCGAACATTACAATGGCATATGTGAACTCATTTAAGTAAAGCACCTATTTTACTTCAGAGTAACAGTGAAAACGAGCACAATATTTACCCAACTGCACAAATGGTGAACTCCAATCCCGAGTAGAAACCATTTTAACTTACCGTACCTGCGACATTGCAGGTATATTTCCTCAGACTAAAAACAGCACTCAAAAGTTTTGGTCCAAACCCTAAAGTTTTTTCTACAAAAGTGGCATTGTGGCTGCTGTAAATACTCATTCCCTCCACTTGACAAGCTCATAATCCCACTTTTACAGGCCCTGGGAGTGCAGTGTGCAGTGTGTCCTTGGCAGAGAGCTTTGAGGAAATCCTTAGAGTTGTAATGAGCCGTGCCTCTGTTGTTTTGGGAGAGGTGAAGTGAAAGCTTTTTAAAACCAAAGTGACAGTTACAATGCATCTCATCTGTGGCCCGGAGTTTTAATTACATATTCAGCTGTGGACACAAAGGAGCTGGAGTGTGTACTTTGGATTTAAACACTTTACTGTACACTTTACCTTTGCCTGAATAACTTCAATTATGGATGCTGACAGTACACAAAACCCTAAAAAGTGGATTATTTTAACCAACTTTTAAAAGATATGTCTCTGTGTCACCAAAATAACCATTAGTATGGACAACGTTCAAGCAAAACAAAAAATGACTACAAGCAACAAAAAATAAGCAGGAGCTAAAATGTTTTAATTGTAACTTGGATTTCAGAAATTCAAAGATTTCCCAGCACTAATTTCTTTTCACATACTCTATGTCTGATATTCCCCCATGAAGTACTGTACATGGCAAAGGAAGGTCTCGTCTATCATGAAGAGCTCCCTACAAGTCCAAAGAAATCCATATAAATCCAAAGAAATCCCAAGACAGATAAGAACTTTAAGGCAATAATTCCTAAAATTCCAGTTGTTCACAGGGAAGAGTTTTAACTGCTTTCTACAAGTTTCAGAGACCATAGTTTTTCTCTCATGGTAAAGCTAAAATAAAGTGCCCTTCCTGCTTCTCAGATGATAAAATTTGACAGATTTGATGCAGCTAGTACACAGGAGTCTCATTTTTGTACTTAAATAGATGTTGTATGTGTATGTAACCCTGCAACTAACAGATCTTTGACCATGACGCTACCCTATACTTTTTCAGGCCTGAATGCATTTCTAGTCTTCTTTTAAAGTGAAAACTCTTACCACATTGAAGTCGAGGTTCTTCTCCACCCAGTCAGTGGCGACGTCAAAATCCTCAAACATCTCCATGATGTAGAGCGTATCCAAGGCATCCACTATAGTCGCACCTTTTATACTCCCTGCAAAAAACGAGAGAAAGCAGACGTCTTAAACCATAGACCTTTATATAAATAGAAATACATTCAGCTGCACACACACACACGCGCGTAGAAACTGTTTTACATACTCTTTAAGCGTACATGACGTGTGCTGGCAGAGAAGTAAACTGCAGAAGTTATGTTTACAAGTTTAAAAAAAAAAGGAGTTATTTTTCTCAACAGATGGAGCAGGCTGCGATTATGAGTGCTGATGAAACGTCAGGAGTGCAGCTCATCTCCAGTGATTAGCCCGAAGCAGGAGGCAGACATCGAGCGAGGAGTGAAAAAATGAGATTTCAAAGAATCTTTACTCCAACTACTAATGAGGCCTGCAGCTCTGAATGCTTCTTCAGACAGGTGAGGGAGCTCGGGGCAAGGTAAAGCAGGAAGAAAGAGGGAGATCAAGGGGCAAAGGCAAAACTAAAAGGTCCAAAGAAGTCGTGGACAAACGGATCACAAAGCTGGGGTTCAAGTTCAAACAATAATCCTAAAGAAATACGCTACACATCAAAGATTTTGTTTTTACTAAGCAAAATAGGGCTTTAGCTATAAAAAAAAATCTACCTGATCTGATCCCCGTGATGATATATAATTAAAAAGGCCCATATTACACTATTTTCTGATGTTGTTTCATCATCAAAAATATACTTGAGTTGTGTTTTGTTTCATTTACGCATATTTAATACACAAGCCCTGCATATTTATCTGCATTTCTTCTCTCAAAGTGAAAACACAATTCCACCTTGTGATGTCGTTTAGTAATACATAAAGTTTTTAAACTCCATACACCTTCACCAGAATCATTTGGATGATTTAGACCCTGGAATTGCCCATTTCTACTGAACTAAAGGTAAAAGGAGCTGTTAACTTGAAAACTACTGCTTCAAGACATCACATTTTGACCTTTGGAGATGCTGACAGAATAATACAGGATTACTCAAACATGTGTGAATGAAACAAAACACGACTCCATGTATGTTTCTCAAAAGGTTACAACATTATAACATGGTTTAAAGCTCACATGAGTCAATTTTGCATAATAAAGGACCTTTAAGTGATTTTGTCATATTGTGCTTTTCTGTTTAAAGAGAGTTTGGAGTTTTGGACATAGGACCTCATTTCTTAGTGAGCCAGAGTTTTTGAGATGTGTGAAGACACTTTATTAAATATTTCATCCAGTCTTTGTATTTGCAGAGGTCGTTGGTGCTAAGCTAGTGCATGTCAATGGCCATAGTTAGCCTACCACTAAAAACAGTCTTACCCACTCCACAAAACACCCGAAGCAAATGTATTATTACACCAGACTGTCTGTGTTGATAGAATAATGTTTGAAATAAAACTAACTTTGCATCGCATGAATTGTTGCATGTTGAGGGACTACTTTCAGTCCGCTGCTGCCAAGCTTTCTATCAGGAAGTACAACTCGCTACTGCTGCTCAGACATAAATACTTCAAATGCAAGGTTGTCTTTACTTCTAAAATGATTCTATCGACACAGACATTTACATCGACAGTCTGGTGTTACAACTGTTTTGCCTCGGGTGTTTTGTGGAGTGGGTAAGACTGTTTAGTGGTAGGCTAACTATGGCCATTGACATGCACTAGCCTAGCACCAGCGACCTCTGCAAATACAAGGACTGGATGGAATATTTAAAAAAGTGTCTCTACACGTCTCCAACAATCTGGCTCACTAGGAAATTAGGTCCCATGTCCAAAATTCCAAACTGTCCCTTTAATATAGCTCTATATTCAGCCATAAATACTTTTTCCTACTGCTTCTCCTATTGGTCAGCCTCTGTCATGTGGGGTGAATTAACCAATCAGTGTGAAGTGTGAGCTCTAAGAAGAAGCAGAAAGTTGTAGTTGCCTCTTAAAGACGGTATAAAGCCAATTTGGATCATAATAAAAATGTAAATACTGATCTAGCCTCTAGAAAATCATAATTACCGGTACGTTTTGGCAAATGGCCCATTCAAACTCTTTTTTTCTCCCCTCCTAGTTGGCCAAAATCCCACGCATCACCATCATCCAAAAACAAAATCAAGAAGTACCATTCCACTTGCACTTGTTATGCTTATATGACAAGCAAACTTAAACATATCTCCACCAAAAATGGCATCACTTTATTTATTGTAAGAAGTTAGAAACCTTTTCAAACAATGAGGAAATCACCATCTGTTTAGCTCCGTCGAAGATTTATTTTTTCTTCCTCCTTTGTCTTTTTTCCTAGAAGACATTGCTATTCAGTTCACTCTCTGACCATCTGTACATCGCATCAACTCAGCAAGGGCAGCTGCATGGAAGGAACTGCACTACATAATATATAGACAACATAATCTCCTCGCTATTAGTGTAATAAACAGGAATCTGCAAATAGAAAACTAGTCCAATATTCGCAGGAAACGTTTTCAATGCAGAACGAACAGCTCGGTTGTGTTAAGAGTTCCATTGTTGACAGTGGGTAGAGTTTTGAAGGGCAGCGCTGGCTCGGTGTTAGCGGCTGGTGATTCAGACTCTAATGGAAAGCTTTTAGCCGTGTTTAAGTCCTCCCACCACTCTCCTCAGACATAAGCGCCAAGAATTCACACCATAATAACAATCCTCCAGCTTTTATCTCAACTCAGTGGCTGCAGCTCAAATCGGAACAGAACTGTGAGGAGTTTTTATTCACTTCTATATATTTATTTCTGATGTTTTATTGTAAATATTCTTAAAAGTGCACTGTGTATTTCTTCTGTTTGGGGGTCCGTCATCTGCGTGTTTCTACGGATATGTCATTGCTCTCTGTTTGGAATGCTCCACAGTATGGCATTAAATTACAATACTATTACAGGTGGTTTTACTTCTCAAAAAAATAGAAAAAGAGGCATTCTAACAGTGAACGGGGTTGCCTCCCCACAGACCTGACCTAGAAATTGGTCTCGTTTGTTCTCCATGAAGATAGAAAGGTTTAATATCATACTGTGAAACATGCCAGACAAATAACAATAACATCTCCATGGAGAAAAACATTTCACGGACTCTCCACCGGAAAAGTTATGGAAAAAACACAATTATGGAATGTGTTTCAGGAGCAGTACCATTGATAGCCACAAAAGAAAAAAAAAGTGGAATTCAGGTGAAAAATGAATGAAAAAAAAAGAGTGAATAAATGAAATAAATAAATAATATTTGTAACTAGAAAAACTAAACACAACCTCCATGTATTCATGAGTATTTATCATCATCATATGTGGATTGCAGTTTGTACGTGTCACATTACCAAATAAATAAAATGTTCAGAACAGTTTGCCTCAAAATCTGCCAAATGTTTCACTTGTGCAGTCAGAAATGAAGAGTACACATCTTCAATAACCTGAAATTCAAAATGAAGGGAAATGGATTTGAAAAAAACACATCTTAAAAAGAGTAATAAGTACGTCTACCTTCTTTGGTGAGTGGCGTCTGGTTTGTTGATTGGCTCAGATTAGTTATTGAGTCATGTCGATTTGCCTGTCTAAAAAGAGAAATTGTAAAGACTTTTCTAAAACCTGCTCCCTGTCAGCACCAGACTGCGGATTGGACTCCAGATGGACAGATCTGAAAGTGAAATTCAGCGTCAGTCTGCAAGTATAGACTGCAAGACCAAAAGAGCAGCCAGAGATATCGGAGGTGGCCAGAGAAGCCGAGTGGAGTTTGCTGAAGTAGCAGATGGCGGTGTGTGTGGTACTTGTGTTGAACATGAAACAGCAGTGACTTGGGAGGGCTGTTCTGTGGTCGTTTGGTGAAGACTGACGGGGAAAGTGAGAGGATCATCTGAGAGTGAGGGATATACACAGACGACAACAAGGCTCCATCCACGAGACAGACAAAAGGCATGGGAAAAGTAAAGAAGGGTAGAATCAAACTTTTAAAATGGAGACATGCAGCTATCCACCATTAGGCAAACTAAGTTAATTCACCCATAAGTAATGCATTATACTGCTGTTTTAGTTGTGCATTCTCTTTGGGTACATTTGAAGAAAATCAGATTGCAAAACACGGCAAAAATATAAAAGGGAACAATATGAAACAGCATGAAAAAGGCTTCTTGAGATCAAAACTGACAAATGTTATACGCAATTGTAATGGAATTCAAAAACAATGAGGCAGAATGAATAAATGTATTAAATAAGACTGTTGTTTATTTGTTTGACACGTTTTTTCAAGTTCTCTGTCAGCTTTTGATACACATGTTCGAGATTAACTGTGGTAGAACAATCGGAAGAAAGCTGGGAGCATTGACAAAACTTCTTTAAAAACTAAAACAATGGCTGTAGGTGAAGATGGATGTGTGGTTAGGGAGCGTGTGGACTTATAGGAACAGAACAATGTGATAGATGGTCTATGGGGACAGCGTAATGGAGGCGCTGACGCTGTTAGCTAACGACTTGTGGGCTTTCCGTTTCCCTGGCCCTGCTCTTCCCCTCCATCCACCTGGATAATGGCTCCTGTCTTCTGAAGGTACTTTTTATATTTGTGCCTCTGAGCTGTGGACGTCTCGAGCTGCAGGACTGGTCCTCGGGTTGTCCATTTGTCTGTCTGTCTCTGGTGAATGCAATGACTCGGCAATGGCTTCAGGAAATTCTTTTACTTTCAAAGTTCGGAAACTTTGGAATTAGTTTTTGAGGCAACAATAACGTCAACATGAATAGTAGAACCTTGTTGAAATATATACATGAAGGCACGTGTATATATACAAATCAATCCTTTTAAATGTATGTAAATGAGAATATTACTGAAAATATTAACACAATAACACATTTTAAACTCTTCATTTTTTATTTTACCTTTGTGTGAACCAAAAGTTTGAACTTTCAGAAGCAGAAGTTGGATTTCTGATACTGAAACTAAATTTGAAACTAGATACTTAATTTGAGCTGCTCGATAAAATTACACTAAAAGAACATAGACTTAATAATTTTAGAATGGACTAATACCTGTAGGACAAGACCAAGGCCACA